TGGCCGCTGAGCCTGGGCGTCCGGAGCCTGTGATCCGCAACTGGAGAGGCCACAACAGTGAGAGGCCCGCGTACCGCCAAAAAACAAAACAAAACAAAACAAAAACAAATCAAATCAGGTCTCTCCCCTGCTCTGCCCCCCAGTGGGGAACACTTGTGCACCGTTGGTGGGAATGTAAATTGGTGCAGCCACTATGGAAAACAATATGGAGGTTCCTCAAAAAATTAAAAATAGAATTGTCATAAGATCCAGCAGTCCCACTTCTTGGTATATATCCAAAGGAAACAAAATCAGTATCCCAAAAGAGATATCTGCACCCCTGTGTCCATGGCAGCGTTATTCACAACAGCCAAGATATAGAAGCAATCTAAGTGTCAGCAGATGAGTGGATAAAGAAAATGTGACAGGCTTCCCTGGTGGTACAGTGGTTAGGAATCCGCCTGCCAATGCAGGTGACATGGGTTCAAGCCCTGGTCCAGGAGGATCCCACATGCCACGGAGCAGCTAAGCCTGTGTGCCACAACTACTGAGCCTGCGCTCTAGAGCCCACGAGCCTCAGCTACTGAAGCCCATGTGCCTAGAGCCCATGCTCCGCCCAACAAGAGAAGCCACTGCAATGAGAAGACTGCACACCACAACAAAGAGTAGCCCCCGCTCGCCGCAACTAGGGAAAGCCCACGTGCAGCAACGAAGACCCAATGCAGCCAAAATTTTAAAAAAAAATTAAACAAAAAGAAAATGTGATACAGATATATAACAGAATATTATTCAGCCATAAAAATGAAGGAAATCCTGCCATTTGTGACAAACATGGATGGACCTTGAAGTCATTATGCTAAGTGAAATAAGTCAGACAGAGGAAGACAAATACTGTATGATATCACTTATATGTGGAATCTAAAAAAGCTGAATTCATAGAAACAGAGAGATGTCATGTAGCATGGTGACTATAGTTAAGAAAACTGTAGTATACATTTGAAAGTTGCTAAGAGAGTAGATCTTAAAAGTTTCATAACAAAAAAAAACTGTAACTGCATAGTGATGGATGTTAACTAGACTTACTGTGGTGGCCATTTCACAACATATACAAATATAGAATCACTGTGTACATCTGAAACTAATATAGTGTTATATGTCAATTGTCTCGCAATAAAAATTAATTAATAATTACTTAATTAAGTAAAAGAATTGTTGTTGCCAGAGGCTGGGGGTGGGGGAGAAATGGGGAGATGTTGATCAAAGGGTACAGATTTTCAGTTACAAGATTAATAAGTTCTGGGGACCTAACGTACAGCATGGTGACTATAGCTAATACTGTATTGTATACTTGAAATTTACTAAGAGAGTATATCTTAAATGTTCTCACTATACACACCAAAAAATGGGAACTATGTGAGGTAATGGATGGATTAATTAACTTTATTGTGGTAATCCCTTTGCAATATATACATGTAGTAAATCATGTTGTACACCTTAAATTTATTTATTTATTTATGTATCTATCTATCTATCTATTTATTTATTTATTTTGCCATGCCGCATGGCTTGTGGGATCTTAGTTCCCCAGTTCCCCAACCAGGGATCGAACCTGGGCCTTCAGCAGCGAAAGGGCCAAGTCCTAACCACTGGACCGCCGGGGAATTCCCCATTAAATTTATACCCTTTGGCCAATTATCCCTCAGTAAAGCTGGGTGGGGGGAATAGCCCCTTAGTGCATTCTGTCATATTTAGAATAAAAGCCAAAGTCCTCCTCCCCAGGCCAATGCCCTTCCTGATCTCACCTACTCCCTGACCCCCAAACATTCCAGCCACACGGGTCTTCTCCTTGAAGTTCCCTGCAGGCCTGCCCCCAGGCCTTTGCACTGGCTGTTCCCTCTGCCTGGAATGCCCTTTCCTATATGACTCACTTGCTAATTTACTTCAGAACTTGATCATAACCTCAGAGAGGACTTCCCTGACTACTTTCTCTGAAATGGCACTCCCCCCGCTCCCCTTGATATCCCTTCCCCAGCTTTATTTTTATTCACTTCCCGTGTTGCAATCTGATAAATATTTCTCTGGCTGTTCTCCCTCTTCCACTTGGAATATGAGCTCCATGAGGGCAGTCTTGCTCACTGTGGAATCCCCGCCTCTGGCACAGGGAACATTTCTATCCACCTGTCCATCTCACCTTTTTTTCTTTTTTTTTGGCCACGCCCCACGACTTGCAGGATCTTAGTTCCCTGACCAGGGATCGGAACGTGCACCTTCAGCAGTTCAGCAATGAAAGCACCGAGTCCTAACCACTGGACCGCCAGGGAATTCCCGCATCTCATTTTTAAAATGCATTTGAGGGACTTCCCTGGTGGTCCAGTCGTTTAAAAGACTCCGTGCTTCCACTGTAGGGCTAGGGTTCCATCCCTGGTGGGGGAATTAAGATCTCACATGCCGCACAGTGGGACCATAATAAAATAAAAAATAAAATAAAAATACTATGTATAAAAAAATAAATAAAATGCATTTGAAAGCCAATTGCAAACACATATTTGACACTCAGCAAATAGTTCTTGAAAGAATGAACACAGATTCAAGTTGGCCACGCACACAGCTGGGTCCACCGTGTCCTAGGTGTGTAGGGCCACCCAGCGTATTCAAACAAGTGGGCAGATCTTTGCACATATTTGCATCCCCCCAAAATGCCACAATAATTAACTGGCCCCTTTATGAAAGGTCTTTTACATGGTGGTGCGGACACAGTGGTACCAAAGATATACCCAGTGCCTACACTCCCAGAGCCCACAGACCATGAGACACACAGTCACACCAATAAATATATTGTGACAACCCAAGCCAAAGAAAAGGACAAAGTGTTAGGAGTGAACAACACAGGGACCTAGAGTTGACTGGGAAGGACCAGGCAGTGATGCCAAGGAGAAGGGACAATTGAGATGAGGCTGAGGGGTGTGTAGGAGTTGGGGGCACAGAGCTGCAGGAGGAGGCCCTAAAGCTTGTGAACAAGAGAAAGGAGCCAGGTGGACATGAGGGGTCAAGGCAAGCAGTTTGGGGGTTTATCTTGGAAGGTTTGGGGCAAAGGTGGAAAAGGGTTTGATTTGATTGAGAGACATTCTTCTTGCTGTTGACAGGTTAGAGGGAGAGAGAGTGGAGGCCAGGAGACCAGGGAGGAGGCCAGAGCAGGGGTCCAGGTGGGAGAAGATGGGGCTGGACCAGGGTGAGACCATGGGGAGGACAGCAAGGCCAGGCAGGAGAAAGGTTTGTGGAGCTAAATCGAATCCTCCTTGGCACTTGGAAACTTATTGAGGGTGGGGGCTGTCCAAGAGGACCCTGAGGGTCGGGCTTGGGTGGCAGAATAGATGCTGAGGCTGTCACTGAAATGGGACACAAATGACACAGCTCAGGAAAGTTGATGGGGAAGAGCTCTGAGTGCCAGGTTGTGGAGCCGGGAGCTCGCCCTGAGGGCAGTGGGGAGCCAAGGTTAAGCAGGGAGGGGACAGGGTCAGGTTTGAGTTTCAGAAACATCCCTCTGCTTATGAATGGGAGAGGGGTTGGAGGGAGTAAGAGTGGAGGCAAGGAGGCCTGGGGGGAAGCCAGGGAGGAGGCCAAGGCAGGGTCCTGGTGGGAAAGGATGGGGCTGGACTCCTCGGAGTGAGAAGAGGCAGGTGGGAGAGACATCGGGAGGCTGAAAGGAGAGGAGTTTATAAGGAGCTGTAGGGATGCCAGTACACAAACAGAACAGCCAAGAGCAGAGAGATGGGTGCCCAGCCCCCTCCTACACAGACACTCAGGCTTGCAGAGACCCCCACCCACCCCCCGCACCTCCACCACGTGCAAAACACATGGTGGGAAGTAAATGGACAAGCAGGAGAACCAACACACAGGCCCTGGATCTACAAGGATCAGGATACACAATCCACCAGAGGGAGACAGCAATGCAAGTGCACAGAGAGACATACAGATGAGATGCAAAAAATCAAGGGCACCTTGTCAGCTGTCGTCACCACGTGCAAAAAACTGCACGTGCACTGTCCCAGGACAGTCCCAGGACAGCTTCCCCGTAGCCTGCTAAGTGGGTTCTACTGCTATTCCCACCTTACAGATGGACAAAGCGAGGCTCAGGGAGGCCAGTCACTTGTAAGGTCACAGGGTTAGTGGTAGAGGCGGGATTCCCACCCAGGTCTTTGGGCACCCCTGTGAGTGCCCATCCACTGATGTCCTGTTTCCGTGCCCATGTGGATCTCTTTTGTATGAGGATCCACGTCTCCCCAAGTCTTCCCCCAGGGAAGACTCCCCTTTCTGGTCTCGGAGGTTTCTCCAGGAATGGAGGAGCCCCTGACCTGGCTTGTCTGAGTGGGGGCCGGTGGCGTGCCCCTGCATGTCTCCTGTCCCAGCCTCTGTGTATGGATGACATCTGTGAGTGTGTGTGTGTGTCCTTGTCTGAGGAGCTGTGAGTGAGAGGGGGAGTGCCTGGCTGGGCTGGGCTGGGGGTGGAGGCAGGGGAGGGGGGCGTCGCGGAGGGGAGCAGAGTTCTGGAGGAATGTTTACCAGACACTGAGAGAGCCCAGAGGGACAGCGCCCAGAGCCGGGATAGGGAGACGCACAGCTTCCCTGCTTCGTTGGCCCACGATTAGGGGCGTAGCCACCTGGGGCCCCCTTCCCCCTCCCCAGCCTCCCTCCAGGGCCCCTTTAAGACAGAGCTGGTCCTCTTCTCTCCGCGTTAACCCCTGGAAGTCCAGGGCCCCTTGG